AAGCTAAATTGTGCAGAGCTGCGGCCCTCCAGTAACTGAGTTTGACACCTGTGCTCTATTGCTACATATTTTTGATAGAGATTATTATCAGTTTTATTATTATAACTAATGATTTTAAATAATTTATCCAAACTGTGCTACTGGTTTAGGATTATTTTAGAAATATACTTAAAATTTTATGTAAATATTTCAAACTGGATCAATTTCATGTGTCTTTTCTAAATAAAGTTTTCTTTTTCTTCTAAAAACATCTGACTGACCCCAAAATTGAACACACTATTAAAAACAAAGAAGCAATGTTATTAAAACACGTATGGCACAGGTGACCCTGCAGAAGCAGCGGAGTTGACGTGTTTTGACATGAAGCATGTGCTGCTGATGTTTCATCCTGAGACACTGGTTAGGCTGGTTAAGTCATGCAGGTTACGTTGCTGTTAGTTGGGTTAAACAGGCACCAGAAACACACATGCGCACATACACACACATACGCACTCACACAGTTCTTACCTGCGCACCTCACAGCAGAGGATCACACATCTGTAACAGTGCAACAACGTCAACAACATGATCAAACTAATCGCACACTCCAGGCCAGTCATAACACAATCACACTCCAAAAAGCCAATCACGTCTCAAACCTCGCCGGTCTACATGAAACCCTGCAAGCCTTTTTACTGCTGGAATGATTACAGAGATGCCTGTGATTGTAGCTTTTGCTCACAAATGCTGTACACTGATTCAATTAGGAGTACAGCAAAAACAACTCTGTGATGTATTACTAGTTAATAAAACTTGAATTATACATTTATTTATTACTAACGGCAAATTCCATTTGTTTTAAAGAACCCATTAATCATATCTTATAGCATTTTTGCTTTTCATGCATTTTTTAGCAGACTATAAATGTAAATAAATATGTATATATATATATATATATATATATATATATATATATATATATATATATATATATATATATATATATAAAGAAAATCTTCCTTTTACTTTTAATGCTCAAATATTAAAATAATAACATTCTCAAAACTGTTAATAATAATAATAATAATAATATATATATATATATATATATATATATATATATATATATATATATATATATATATTATATATAATGTTTTAAGCTATTATTATTAATAATAAGTTTCAAAAATAAATAAATGAATATTAAAATAATACAAAATAATAAAAAAAAATGATATAACTATAATATTATACTACAATATTATCTACTATATTTCCCAGTCATGGGTTGCAGCTGAAAGGGCATCCGCAGCGTAAAACATATGCTGGATAAGTTGGCGGATCATTCCGCTGTGGCAACCCCTGATGAATAAAGGGACTAAGCTAAAAAGAAAATTAATTATTTAATTTTCTACTATAATATTTTATTTTTATTATATTATTTTAGTATTTTGTCTTTAGGATAGCACATACAGTATTAATACACTATAGAAAAATAAACAAAAGTAATTTTTGACTTCATGTTGACTTTTGAGATGAAGCGTGTCATTAAACCCCAAACGTGTGGTGAACATCATCATCATCAGCAGTGAGAGATGTCGGTTGAATCATGATGCAACAGCAGTGAAAGTGAAGGCTTTTTTTTTTTTGCACACTAAAATTGCATACAATATGAAAAACAGCAACCTCAGGGTGTCCGGGGTGTCTTAAAAAGCATTGAGATTTTTAATCTCAATCTGTCTTTTCTGGTAAAATAAAGGTTATTATAATAACAATAATAATAATAATAATAATAATAATAATAATAATAATAATAATAATAAAGTATTAGAAATTGATAAATCAATTTAGAAAATTTTACGGCCCTTAAAAAGTATTAGAAGTCCTAAATGCTTTTTTACAAAGTGTTAAATTTTGTATCAGTATGCTACAGTTTGACTGAATTTAATCTTTGAATATCAGGATGCTGAGTAGTTTATGAAAATCAAACAAATGCTGCTAGATTTGACATCATGCAGCTTTATTTACTGTTGTAAAAGCGCCACCTGCTGGATTAATATTTTAATTTAGTATATAAATTCAGTTTTAGTTTAGGATTCATTTCTTGCAATCAGTATTTTGTAAATACACTGCCAGTTAAAATGTCAGCAATGTTACTGGTTGAAACCTGAAGTAGTGATGAGGTCTTAAAATGTATGCAATAAGTCTAAAAAGGTATTGAATTTCAATCTCTGATTCCTGTATATACTTTGAACCTCTGCATCTGTGACTGTGAGCTCAACTTACTTCACTTGTATAGCATAAAACGCACTTATGTGTAAAAATGCCAGACTTCTTGAGTAACTTTATTTAGGTAAATTCATACTTGAGAGGAGAAAAAAGTATATTTAAGGGTTTCAACAACTAGATGCATTAAGACCTTTCCAATTTCATCTGGAATGCATCCCAGACCACCTCCTGAAGTGGTTTGAGTGATTGGATTTATATCCATCAATAATGCATTTTAGAGGGGATTTACACACTGGTCCATTTCACGATAGGATGATTAGAAAAAAATATTTGAAGTGGCCTGTAAACAGAACTTTAAAGAGTCACAAAACACCAAAACACATTTTTTTGAGATGTTGACAGTCATGTATGTGTCCCTCGCTGCTAAAAACACTAATAGGACACAGATATTTCAGAAAAAACTGGTTGTTTTGTGTTATTTCGAGCAAATTGATTTTCCCGGTTTGAAAATAATTTTTGTAGCTACGTCACGGTGATTAGATCCTTGTGTAAATTCCAGCTTGGAGACTGGATGATTGTAGCGACAGGTACAACGTGACGTCTTTGAGTTTTCAGCATTAATTCATGAGAAAGACTTCCAAGTCTTTCCAGACCGCCAATCAGCGCGCTCTATTGTGTATGAGGTGCAACTTCATTAAAATGCATGATAAAGCTTTGAAGACGTAAGGGAGAAGGAGTGCTATTAAAATCATTGGAAAAAGAAGACATGGGTCATGGGTGTTGTGTTTATAAATGTGCTGCAAAGAAGGTTTTGTATCTTATTTCCCCACTGTGAGAGCGCAGCTGGACTCTTGTGTGGATTACAGTGGTCTGCTAACATGCAACAAAAATATGTTCGCAAGGAAAAAATGTTTTCACCCGAGAGCTTTTCGCATCTGGAAATGGTGAAATTCGGATTTGCCACTTGTCTTCTTTTTAAAAAAGACGCGGTTCCAGTTGGTGTTGATTGTCCTGTCTCTACAGATTTGTTAAATGTGCTCAGTGCTCTTTATTATGTTTATTCAGATGGCAAAGTTATCTAGTATCATCAGCAGTATTCTTTCAGTTTTAGTTTTTAAAGACATACCTTAGTTAAAATGGTTTAGTTTACTGTAAAATTTACAGTACGTTAACATCACTACAATATTATGGACTGAAAGATCTGCTGTAAATGCTGCTTTCCGAATGTAAACATGTAAACAACGTAAACTATTACCGGGGTGTAGGATTTTCGCTGCATTCTATACACGGCTTTCTGACACAACCTACCGAGTGCATAAAAGTTACTGACAAATGTTTTTTTTTCTCCATTAAAACTACACTCGTCCTGCAGTTCCTCCCGTTCAATATCTTGTTTGTCATGAGGGGCATGCATGAAATGTTCCTAAATGAAAGTGAAAGAGCCAAACTGCAGTTAAAGTCGACAAACTAATAATTTGGCAAATAATTTGATTATTGATGTCCATGTAAACATAGTCACTGTCTTTCTCCCCCGCATAAGATAATACAATTTATTTTATTATTTATATTTATTTAAACATATTTTGTATATGCCTTGGATGCCAAATAATATTTTCAACCTTTTTTTAAATTTACTTATAGTAATTAATCACAATTTCAATTAAATTTTTCAAAGTTATATCCTGTCCATAAAACAATTTCTTTCTTACAAATAGTTATCAAATATTTTATTTCATCTTTTAAGTCACATAACATTTACTGCTGTCAATGGATCTTGTTTTTACAAATAATTTCTATTTAATTTGCTTAATTTCTTTGTATATATATATATTTTATACAACAGATTTGTCTGGTTCTCAAATCTGATTGGCTGATAGCCGAGCGATATTCTGCCATATCAGAACTCCTACAGCCTCTTTACCCTTTGTGTATTACTACACCCACATACAGCCAGCAAAAAGAAGACACTACAGATCTAAAGTTTAAAAGATGCGCGGTCAACTGTTTAACTGTCAGCTTATGATTTGAATCCAATGTGGAAGAAAGTAGTTCCACATACAAAAGGGTTTTTGAAACGCTCTGTGTTTGATTTTGTTTTTATATACACAATTATGCCGTCAAACTGTTGTATAAACGCAATATCACACTCGCACGCCTCCCACCAGTGCCGATATACAGCCATATCGCACTGCTACGAGTGTGATATTGATCATATATATATTTCTATAATCTCATTATTTTATTATTTAGAGTCATTTTGTACATGCTGTCCACAGAATGTAACTTTTTTTAACCAACCGTATACATTTTAATGTGGATATTAAAAATAACCCACACAAAGAAATAGAAATGTAATGAAAATAAAGCAGTTGACTCTAGATGTGGGATGATCTGGCGTGTGAAGACGAAGCTCCACAGCATTTGCGAGTGCCTTTTTTTTCACGTGAATCCATCCAAAGCAGGGAAATCCTCTGAGTTTTTGGCAGGGGTTTGTGTTGGGCTTCTTTCCAATAATAAGCTCCAGGACGTACTGACGCTGGACAGCTGCTCTTTTATACAATGAACCCGTTAAACTGAGAGAGAGATACTTCCACTGAGCACTTCAGTTTTACTTCAGGCTTGCATGGACACGCCAATTAATTTTTTTCCCCATTTGTCCACAGGAAAAAGAAAGACATCCTTGTGGATTTACTACTTTAAATCTTGTAAATCATTTGATCAGGTTTGTATATCTTTCCGACGATGGTATAAAATGAAAGCAATATATTTAAAGTCTTCCTGGGTAACACTGTTGTCATGATATCATGCAGCGTATGAAGTTCGTCTTAATCAGATGGGGTATTTTGGCAATATTCTTCACCACAATCAAACATGTGTATAGGTGCAAATGTCAATTTCCAGACAAGAAATCTTGACTTAGAAAAATAGTGTTTTCAAAAGTGATTAAATAGAAATTAGCATTCTTAAATAGATTTGCATTCTTTTAGCTCCAATCCAACTCAAAACGGTCCTGATATCCATACTATCCAACTATTTTCAATGGAAGGAATCGTGTCAAATCGTCAATAACCAAATCCAGCTAATTGAGTATTCCACGTAAAAAGAACAGACCCCCAAGACTTCATTTGGAGACATTTGCATTCCAGTTGCTCGATACATCCACACACTGTCCAAGTTTTTAAAAACACTGCCATGAGTTAAGTGCCTAAATGTATGCTCTTTATACAGTTGAAGTCAAAATTATTAGCCCTCTTGTAAATTGTTTTTTCTTTTTTTTAGAGTTTTTTCTTTTTTCTATTTTTCACTGTATTTCCAATCATATTTTTTCTTCTGAAGAACATCTCATTTGTTTTATTTCAGCTAGAATAAAAGCAGTTTTTCATAAAAAAAAATAAAATAAATAAAAAATAAAACATTTTAAGGTAAATTTTTTAGCCCCTTTAAGCACATTTGTCTTTAAGTTGCTACAGAACAAACCATCACTATCCAATGATTTGCCTAATTTTCCAAACTTGCCTATTAACTTTTAAGCTTTTAAAAATCTATATTTTTTTATCTATAAATATTATTTACTGTTATCATGGCAAAGATAAAAGAAATCAATTAATAGAATTTTTTAATAAGTTATTAAAACTGTTATGTTTAGTAATGTGTTGAAAAAATCTTTGGGGAAATTGGGGAAAATATACAAGGGGGGGAGGGGGTGGGGGGTTAATAATTCAGGAGGGCTAATAAGTTTGACTTCAACTTGAAGTTCATTTATCAAACCTTATATTTAAGTAATGCTAGAAGAAAAGCACCACTAATAATAATAAATACAGCAGAGAACTGTTTGATAGTGGTAAATAAAACCCTCATGTTCTTACCGGAGATGATCTTGGATGCAGAAACGCAGACCCCATTGGCTCCGTCAGCAGGTTGTGGTGGTGGTGGGCCACTGGGTTTGGGTCGGGAGCGTGGTGTGGGTCTGGGCCGCGACTGTGAAGAGTCGTGAGGAGGCGTCCCAGGTGGGGTGGGCGTCCTAGGAGGAGATGGCACTGCCTCTTCTGTGTGGGATGGAGGTTGTGATGGAGGTTGAGGTGGAGGGTGACTCGGGGCCTGGATGGGGGTCTGGTTGGTGCGGCGAGGTGCAATGAGAGGCTGAGGGGTGCCGGGTGTAGAGTATGGGTTTGATATGGGTTGGTTAGGAGTCGCTTTTACACTCGGAGAGGTAGCAGGAACACTAGGTTTGGGAGGAGCTGGAGCTTGCTTTTTTGTACCTGAAAGCAAATTGTCCATGCATGATTTTATGGAGGAGCATTTTAGGGATGCACTGTTATTAAAATACTATTCATTGTATTATACATTATCAATTTATCAAAATATTGTCCATTTTTTTCAAGAACCGATCATGTACTTCTCAGTTTTAGGATTCAAGTTTTTTTAGTCTAACAGAATTCAAGAAAACATCCAAAAAACACTTTTAAGTTATTATTATTATTATTATTTTTCACAATAATAATAATAATAATAATTTTTCACAATTGATCAATAAATATCTTTAGATTTCAGTTACAGTTATAGAATACAGAATATTTTAATATATTTTTCTCCAGCATTGTGCCATATATCTCCACTTCAGCAGAATGTACATGCAGTAAACAACATAGTTTTAATCATATCTTTATTCTAAAAGTTTGAACTTTTTACAGAAATATTTGTTCATACATACTACACGTCACAAAACTACAAGTTTCAAGTCTAAATTAAAGACTCATCTAATTTCTAGGTCGTTTGAACCATAAATCCCTTCCTCGGGGGCCAACGGTCTCGCTTTTAATCCTGTTTAGTGTGGTCAACTGTGGTAGCATTTTTTAACCTGGCAAAATTATTTAAAGGGTCAATTACTAATTTGTTTTTGGTATTGAAATTAAACAGTTTTTCATTCATTCGTTCAATTAATTTCGGCTTAGTCCCTTTATTAATCTAGGGTAGCCACAGTGGAATGAACCGCCAACTTATCCAGCATATGTTTTACGCAGTGGATGCCCTTCCAGCTGCAACCCATCACTGGGAAACATCCATACACTTGTAATCACACTCATACACTACGGAAAATTTAGCTTACCCAATTCACCTATAGCGCATATCTTTGGACTTGTGGGGAAAACCGAAGCACCCAGAAGAAACTCACGCCAACACAGGGAGCTCCTCCACACCTGCAAACTCCACACAGAATTGCCAGCTGACCCAGCCGAGGCTCGAACCAGCAACCTTCTTGCTGTGAGGCGACTGTGGTAACCACTGCACCACCGTGCAGCCCCAAAACAGTTTTTATATAATCTATTTTACATCTTTTATGCTCCTTTACATTGTGGCCATTGCTGTTTTGTTTATTATGTCTGTGCTGTTGTTTGTATGTTTTCTATAAAGCACTTTGTGTGGCCTTGTGGCCGTTTGGAAATGTACTATATACATAAATTGAACTTGAACTTGAACATAAGCATAATTTTAACGCCAACAGCCTGATTTTACCAAATATATAATATCATTATTTAAAAAAAAGCCTTTTTGGCTGTTCACAGTATTTTCTAAATAATTAATATTCTACTAATATTGCTTTCATAACTCTTCTCGAGTTAAAACATCAATATTGCATCAAAAAATTGTTTGAAATGATGGCACTTTTTTGCAACTGACAATGAATTTATGTTTAAGTAAAGCAATTTTTCATATATATTCAATAAACTACTAATGATCAGTGGTGGAAAGAGTACAGAAAAGTACTATTAATTGCTTAAAAATGTAGCACGAGTAAAAGTATCTGTTGTAAATCTTACTCAAAGTATTGAGTAAAAAGTAGACCTTTCAAAAGTACTGAAGATTAGTGAGTATTACGCTGTAAAAAGCTGATGATTTACAATTTAATTTGTGGATGTGTGTAAAAGTAACATTCTGTAGTGCATTTAGTTATTGCTCAGCAAGAACTCAATTTCATAAGAAGTAAATATTAAGTTAGATTTAGGTTGTGAAGTCAGGTGACTAAAATTCAATGTCTAGTCAGCGTCTAATGACAACGTTATTAATGACATCAAACGACGTTGACATTTGGTTGATTTTAGCTTGTGTTAGAAAGTGACCAAAATCCAACGTCGAGCCGACATCTTAAATCATAATGATGTCAGATGCTGACATAAATTTGTCAGGTATGGCAACCATAGACGTCATATTGATAATGTACACACAACGTCAAGCTGTAACATCATTAGACGTTGATATTTGGTTGATTTTAGGTTGGACGTTTTCTAATTCCCATAGTGAAGTAAGAGTACAGATGCTGCACTAAAAATGTGCTCAAGAGAAAGTAAAAGTACACACTTTTAAAACGAAGTAAATTACATTTTCTGAGGAAAACTTCTCAATTACAGCAATGTGAGTATTTTTAATTTGTTACTTTACACCACTGCTATTTTATCTATTAGGACTGCTATTAAAAATCACTTGATAATATCTATTTAAAAAAAAAACTAAACATAAATATACACACAGACACCAAACAACCGGCAAGTATTAAACAAATAACAACTGTCAGCATGTAGATGCAGACAAACCAAAAACATTCAACATTCAGACAACATGTATATGTGCGTGCATTTGAGATTTAATAGCGTGCATTATGGATGGAGATGGCGAAATGATATGGATGCGTTTGTGTGTGTGAGATCCAACATGCTGATTGCAGATATGTGCATGGTAAGTGGATTGCTTGGGTAAGTGAATGTTTTTGATGTATAAGATGTGTTGAAGTCACCTCATTGCATATGCCTAATATATTTAAAGGAGTAGCTCACCCAAAAATGAAAACTACCTCATTATTTATTCTCCCTCCTGTGGGTTTAAACCTTTATGAGTTTCTTTTTTCTGTTGAACACAAAAGGAGATATTTTGAAAAATGCTGCCGGTTACCTTTTGTGTTCATCAGAAAAAAGAAACTCAAACAGGTTTTGAACAAGTGAAGAGACAGAAAATTAAGACAGATTATTCATTTTTGGGTGAACTATCCCCTTTAACTGAAGATAAAGGGACACGTAGGCCTTACCTCTGCGCACCATGAATGGACTGGGGCCTTTTGGGCTTGAGGTAGGAGTCCCGACGCTGAGCTGAGCAGGAGCAGGCGTCCCGCTGGAGCCTCCGGGGCCGTTCCTCATGGTTGGAGGTGTGGACACAGAGTCTCTGCTGCTGAGGCTACTGGAGGAGGAAGAGAAGCTGATAACTTAGATTTATAAACGCTGCATTGCAGACACATAAATCAGTTAACATGCAGAAAAGTTAAAATGCAATGGGGTCCAAGTCTAGTTAGGGACTTGCTCTGAAAGGTTAAAACTGTTAGTAGAGTTAGAAGCGTGTTTTAGCAAGCAGTGCATCCTTTACACCAGGGGTTCCCAAACAAGCTACAATGCAAAAGACTCACGACCTCCAATATCCTCTGAGGTAGTTATAAATATACAAACTTAGCAGCCCACACACAACAGGCTCAAGTAGACTTTCAGTTTAATTTTGGAGGATGTCACTTTTGAGACCTTCCTCCACAAATAGTTATGATGACCTTTATTTTTATTGTAATGACTGCCGTAAAAGTGTCAAAGTTTAACCCGGAGCCACAAATTCAATCAGCTGCATCTAATGCTATTGCTGTGTCTTTAATATAATCTAAATACCCCAGAGGTCGCAATCCAATGGGAAATAAATAAATGTAAAAATAAATTGAAAGGCTAATGGCTTTTTATTAGCATGTTGTTGTTTTTTGCAACTATTAACTGCTATTTTAACTTCTGTAGGTTATACAAAATATAATAATTATAATAATTTAATAAAATGAATTATATTTTTGGAAAAGCGACCCCTCTCATTGTAAACTAACCCCCTCTTTGGGAACCACTGGTTTACACTAAAGAAAGAGTAAGCAATCTGCTTTTTAAGTCTGCCATAACTTTTCACAGTTTCTGGGTCCACATTCTTGATCAGATGCTAAAAGCAAACAACAAATTGTACTAATAAAAGTTCATAGCGTGCTGTTTAACTGTTAAAAATACTTGATTATAATGTTTACATCAATGGCTAATCTAATGTAATCTGATCGATGGTCAGACCGTGATTTGTCTCCTATAAATGGTTTAAATATCCGTGTCAGGGATGCAGCAAGTCCAGAGACTGAAGTGAAGATTAAACATTCACTTTAATGTGTGATCATAATCTGCTATAGAGGGATTTGTCAAATCCAACTGACTAAAGGACCCAGAAACAGCATTTCCTGACAGCACAACTTAACAAACAAATAGAGAAAGGCAAGGCAGGACACGCATATCATACTCGAGCAACAGAGAAGTCAGAGAAGACAGGTTTTGGTCCTATGTTTGGGACGAGCATTATAATCATTTGAAGAATCATCCTTGATTTGTAATTTGAAAGGTTGACCATTTGAAATCAACAATAATTTTCAAAAACAGGTTGAAAAACTCTTTGGTATCAATTTGTGGAAGTGGATTTCTGCATCAAACCCACCACCTGAATCAAAAAGGCAGCTGAAATGGCTGTATGGAGCTTTATACAGCTATGAACAAACACATTGTGTGAAACAATGGCTTGAAGCCAAATTGAAAAAAAAATATTAAACTATGGCTGTCCATGAAACAAAATTAAAGTAATCATTCAATTCATTTCCATATAGTTTTTTGTAGAGTCAAAAGAAAATAATTTCATTTAAAATTCTACATAAGATTGATAACACGCATACTTTAAAAAACATTTCATAAATAAAATACAATAATAAGCATTTTTAATATGTTCATTTTTATGAATAACATACAGTAAATGACATAAATGACGGCACCCCTCCCAAATCACTTATTTCAATTAATATTTTCTATAAGAAGCTTTACAATATTATATTCGTGCATAAACATTAGATTAGTCAATACTGAAGCCAAATCTGGAGCTTATCTAACAAAATAACTTATGATTACGGTCTAAAAACTAGTACACCTAAATTTATATGTTAGAGATATATAAATTTATATCTTTATCTATAATTTATTTGTATATACATTCATACACAAAGTTGAAGTCGGAATGATTAGCCCCCCGTTGAATTTCTTTTCTTTTTTAAATATGTCCCAAATGTTGTTTAACAGAGGAATGAAATTTTCACAGTATGTCTGATAATGTGTTTTCTTCTGGAGAAAGTTTTATTTGTTTTTTTTCAGCTAGAATAATTTTTAATAATAATAAAAAAAATGTAAGGTCAAAATGATTAGCCCCTTTAAGCTATATTTTTTTCGATAATCTACAGAAAAAATCATCATTATACAATAACTTGCTTAATTACCCTAACCTGCCTAGTTAACCTAATTAACCTAGTTAAGCCTTTCAGGTCAATTTAAGCTGTATAGAAGTGTCTTGAAAATATCTAATAAAATATTATTTACTGTCTTCATGATAAAATAAATCATTTTCATAAAATAAAATTATTAGAAATGAGTTATTAAAACTATTACGTGTTAAAATGTGTTGAACAAATCTTTCCTCAGTGAAACAGAAATTGGGGGAAAATAAACATGGGGGCTAATAATTCAGGAGGGCTAATAATTCTGACTTCAATTGTATAAAAAAGACCAAAATTCAAGAGGAACAAAACATAAATTTTTGTATTAGATAATTGTATTTTCTTTCTATTTCTAAAAATGTTTGGTAACTAAACATTATTGTAATTAAATATATCTGTTTAATAAATCTGTTTTGTTTAAATTCACCAAAATATATGACCTATATTCACTGAGAAATGAATAAATATATTAAATTTCAAAATGGGGTGTACTCAATTATGCTGAACACTGTACATTTCATATAGAAATGCAATTATAAATAAGATACTGAATTTCTTTTAAATCATGTACAAAATTGTGGTGCTTATTCTTAAAATACTTTGAAGTAAAACAAAGTTGAGAACTGCACAAAAAAAAACTCAATGAAAGACATCTGCAGTAGATTAATACCTTTCACTAAAAATGCACCCACTGATTTTCAAGCAGCGTTTTTGAAGCACTAATCAAGAGAGTGGCACAGGCTGATGTGCGCACAGATTTGAGCAGCGGCGGCTCCTGGCATCTGGCAGCAGCTGGCGTGGTGAAGAAAAAGGATTTTGACGGTTGCACCAATCCTTACCTGTTGTCTGAGGCAGGGCTCTGCTGAACTAATGTCTGCTGGGTCTGAAGTGCCTCCAGACCGGCAGCGGGCAACTGAGGGCACGACTCAAACGCCGAACCCCCCCCGGCCTCAATGGGAGGGAGAGGGGGCTGGAAGTTTGGCGTGGAGTGCTGCTTTTTAGTTATTGTGCCAGTTCTACGAGGGGCGAATTCCGGCTGTTTGTTAGCAGGGCTACAGGGAAGAGGGGAGACAGCATGAAACACTCACACCACAGACTGACAGTCAGCGTGTTTCCAATACCCTTCCAATTGACATTGCAAATTGAAAATACGGATCCATCAACTTTACAATAACACACACAAAGCTTTTATGCTCGCATCAGGTGGCTTTTCAGGCTATTTAAAAATGGCATAAGAAATGTTTTTCGCATTTACAGGTCACTTAGTGTTTGTGTAACGGAGGCCAGCTAGCGAAGTGCTGTGCAGGTAAACCTCACTCCTCTGACCTTTAAAGTTGCTCTAGCGACAGACACTAAAGGCCATGGTCTTACATACAGTATGTATAAGTGTCTGGACTGACACTGTACTGACAATTTACTATAATCTTCTATGTAAAGCTGCTTTGACACGATCTACATTGTAAAAGCGCTATAGAAATAAAGATTAATTGAATTGAAAAAGTCACATGACCATTCTTTAAGTTTTCTCGCATGAGGAGAATTTTGGGGTAATTTGGAATGGAATTTATTTATTTATATATATTTTTTTTGCATTTAAAAGGTCACTTGGTATATGTATAACACATGCTTATTCTGTAAACGTATGGCTATGTGTAACATCTATCAAGCAAAAACACCCAATAAAGCTTTAACACTCACATTTGGAGGTTTTTGGGGGGAATCTGAAAACTCCAATTCAGTATTTAGTTTGCTTTGCATTTACAGGTCTCTTGATGTATGTAAAAGTCACATGATCATTCTGTAAACATACGGCTATACACTTAAATGTAGAGTTGAAACTGCGAATTAAAAATTTGCGTAATTGGAAACGCATCGATTTGGTGAAAAATAAATAAATAAACATAAACGTTTTAACACTTGCATGAGGAGGTTTTTGAAGGAATTTGAAAACTCTAATGGAATATATTTTTATTTAATTTTGTGTGCATTTACAGGTCCCTTGATGCATGTAAAGGTCACATGAGCATTTGTTATAGATATGGATCTATGCTTGTATTTGTAGACTTAAAATTGCGAATTGAAATTATTGAAAAAACGAAAATCACATGCATCAATTTTGCAAAAATCCCCCTATGATATACATAAAAAACATGAACATTCCTTAAAGTTGTGACTATGTAGAATTGAAATTGCAAATATTCCTAATGAAAACGCCTCAGTTTTGAAAAAAGTCTGTATTTTGTATGCTGCAAACAAGTATTTTTCAGGCAAATTGGAAAATTCATATTTAGCAAAACTGCAATGGAAATGTCACATGGCATAAATTATGTCACATGATTATGATTTCAATATGATTTTAGATATTTACAGAAACCGATGATGGTGCACACAAAAAAATCTGTTCAGAAGATTTTTATGCAATGTACTGTATAAGGGGCATATCCTGACTTAAGGTTTGTCTGACACACGTCTAACTGCTTATACGACCTATATGTCACCATGATTTTTGCAATTACTTATTGTGAGAGGACGAGTTTAATTCGCAATTTACTCCATTAATAGACACAATGTCATTTTGCAATAATACATCTACAAAACATTGCAAAAGTTTTGTGTGAATTTGTAATGGAAACACACCTAGTAGGGTTAGTCTCTACAGTGACGGAGGAAAAGGGGGACAAGACCACCACCTGACCACACACTACAACCACTGCAGTTTGCAGTACAAGAATTCATGTAGTTTCGCCTGTGTGAGTGTTTTTACACTAGAAATGCAGTTAGCTGTCGACTTGAATTTTATGAAACACCAAGGACCCCAGTTTCAGCTACATTTTTTTAATGTTCTCCTGAAGAAAGAAAAGGTCACCTACATCTTAAACAGTTGAATGACAGCAAAGTTTCATTTTCAGGTAAACAATGAAGCAGTCAAATCTCACAGAAAATGACTGCATTTGCCAGTGACTTTCAGTGGATTTTGTCCTCCACCTGAGGCCCAAAGTGTTCCCCTTTTCAAGCTCTGAATGTTCGGTATGATCGCCTGCGGGGCAGGAGCTGTCTGACTCATTCTAAACATACCAAACTCAGAAGAGCGACTCGCTGCTTCCTGCTTTCACACTCGCTGTGTCAAAAAACCACCATCACAATTTCAGAATTACCCTCTCAACATGCTATTTTCCAATCTGTTCTTAGCCTTCCTATAGCTGAAACAGCAGCGCATAAGCACAAGTAAAGCCAAAAAAATGTTCAAGGAAAAACAATGACTGATAAAAAAAAAGGTAATTTTTAATGTGGTTTTTAGTCAAATGTCTGCCAAATGCTTCACTGTATTCATTTTAGTTACTTCATTGCAACATCAGTGCTGCATTAGTGCTTTTTTCTTGTCTAACTCATAATCATTATATATATCAATAACGCATTTATACATAGCTACTGTATATAAAGTTTATTTATTTCAGAAAGCATACAATAAGCAACGGTTGACAAAACAGAAAGCAAAAGGAAAATGAAGCAAAAACACAAATAACTGTAATGAATGTAGGTCTAAACAGCCCCCAGCTGTGGACTCAGACTGTCTGCTTTGACTGTGACCGACTCACTGGCCACTACATAGGAAGCGGACACTACTGTGGAGTTGGAGTCATGTTTGTGAACGCGGGGATGAGACCTGTACCTGTCTTTGCGGGCCGTGTCAGAATCAAGCGAGCCCTGGCTGCCTGGGCGCCTCCTCTCGATGGTCCCATACTCTACATCAGGTGTTCCGGGGCACCCAGGCATGGCAAACACACCGGACACGTTGAAGTCCACATCTAAAAAGCCAAAAAGCAGAGGAATTTCAGACTTGGGACTGATAAAATATAAGTTCAGAGTTAAGATCACTTTCTAAACTTAGCTGTCAATAAAGATTTGTTTTCAGCACAAAATCTAAAGTTGTGAAAGGAAATGATGTCAAATTTCTCAAATTATGTCATTTACTGTATTTCCACTACTTCTATTTTTTTTAAGCTCATATGTGGCACGTCAGCTGCTTGAAACTGTAGCAATGCTATACTGCATTGTTCCTGCTAAATAATCATAATAATGAAATAATAATTATGTTATGAGTAAAATGTTTGTGAGTAAAAAAATTAGCATCAAGTGTCACTTTTCCTAGTAGGCAGCTGGAAAATCCTGTTTTAAAATTTCCAAGCTTGATAGGGCAGAAATTACAAGCAGGATATATCAGATATAACCGTGATAATTACTGAATCTCCTAAAGCATTTCTCAAGATGTGTTGATTTTTAAGGTGGCAGCCTATCTAGACAAAAACAAAGAGAACGCTTAATGGGTTTTGAACAATGACAGTCTACTGTAACTTTACCTCCTGGAAAGAACCAGCCTGCATGGTTGATTATCAGTTCAATTATAGACACCACATGGACAGAGGTAGTAGCTGCCATCTCAGCAAGACTTCTAGAAGAGCAACAACAACGACAGCAAAAAACATATATCCAACTGTTAACAAGTAGAGCTGGGCGACATGACAAAAATATCACAAGTAATCTCATTCGATGTAGTACCATTTCTGTCAACTCAATCAATTATTGGGTTATACAGTATATATATATATATATATATATATATATATATATATATATATATATATATATATATACTGACCAAATGTAAAGAACTTTTATAGAATTCACTTACTAAATCTTTAGGGCCTAACAATGTAGAAATATAAAGTAAATGTTAATTAAAATGTAAAGCACATTTAAAAACTATTGACTACAGGTTAACCATTAAAGTAAACAATATTATTTATGTATTTATATCATTATAATTCTTGTTTTGTTAATTGAGTTAATGAACGAGGGATTGGGGATGGGAATATCAATGGACAATGTATTACTGTTTACCTCTGTCAATATTTAAATAGTTGTCAAACAACAGACCAATAAAAAGATTTAAAAAATAAATTAAGATTTCTCTAAATAAAGAGTGAACTTTACACTTTCAAGACAATAATAATAATAATAATTCCTTACATTTATAAAGCGCTTTTCTGGGCATTTAAATCGCTTTACATATTGGGGGGAATCTCCTCATCCACCACCAGTGTGCAGCATCCACCTGGATGACGCAACAGCAGCAATACTGCACCAGACCGCACACCAGCTGATTGGTGGGAAGGAGACGGTGTGATAAAGCCAATAATGATATGGGGATGTTTAGGAGGCCATGATATATATTGGGCAGGTTGCCGGGGTTAAACCCCTACTCTTTTTCAAAGGACATCCTGGGATTTTTAACCACCACAGAGAGTTAGGACCTCGGTTTAACGTCTTTTCTGAAAGAAGGGGCTCATTGAGCAGTCCCCTTCACTATACAGGGGCGTTACGACCCACACAGATTGCAGGTTGAGCGCCCACTGCTGACCTCACTAACACCGCTTCGGGCAGCAACCTAGCTTTCCTACGTGGTCTACCATTCAGGTACTGACCGGGCGAAGCCCTGCTTAGCTTCGGTGGGCGGCCATGTAAGAGTTGCAGAGAGCTAGCTGCCGGAAAGATGGCAACTTTCTCATGATGCTTCTGTCAGCGTCCCTGTATTGGCCTGTAATAATGCGTTCATATAAATTATGAAAAGGTATTACTATAAAGCAGTGTATTTTGTGACACGGCTAAATAAACGACAAGTCACAATTCAAAAATATAGACTTTCTATTTTGTCCATACGATAGATATATTGTCATATTGCACAGCCCTATTCACGAGCAGTAAAAACAAGAACATTACTAGCATTTTCTGCATCAACAAATCCATATGTGATGCACGTAATGATGGCTTATGTGAGACAAATTTGTTTGTGTCTCACCCCTCAGTTTTGGCCCACAGTAAATTGGGTCCCAGTACAATAGCGATGTTGCTTGCAGTCATCTTGTTGACATCACTTTCAAGAGCGAGCTTGGCAAGAAACTTCACCAGGTACCTGTACACACACACATGCATGTTAGCTTCGAACATGATAGCCGTTTAAGGACAATGTCAAAAGTTAGATTGGTGTATTAATAAGCAGACCTAAAATTGGTCTTGTTGGCCTTTGGTAACATGTCGCACACCACCCACAGTGCCTGAAGCCTCTTATCAGGGTCAGAGATACTGCAAACCAGACAAAACAAGACACAAACAGAGAGAGAGACAGTTTTATAATATTCTATCTAAAACATTCACACACAACAGAATCAGTGTGTATGGGTGTTTCCCAGTGATGGGTTGCAGCTGGAAGGGCATGTGCTGCCTAAAACATATGCTGGATAAGTTGGCGGTTCATTCCACTGTGGCGACTCCAGATTAATAAAGAGGCTAAGATGAAAAGTAAATGAATGAATTCACACACATATTAGCCTGGGTGTCACTTTTTCCATACACAAGAAAGAGATTTTTTGTTTTGTTTTCAGGGTTAGAATTAACTTTCACACAAGATTAATAAAAACGCCATGTTTAAAAAAAAAAAAAAAAAAAAAAAAAAAAAACACGTCACACTTTACTTTCTGCATCTAATTAAATGTACAAAAGTGATTTTGACATACGGTTTACAGCACAATTATTAGCCATCCTGTGGATTTTTTATTCTTGTTTACCAGAGCAAGGAAATTTCCATAGCATTTTTTCATAGATTTCTGCTGTAGAAAGTCTTTTTTTTTAGATTAGCTAAAATAAAAGCAGTTTTTAATTTTTATAAACAAATTTTTATGGTCAACATTATAAAACCCCTTAAGAATTTGATTTCATTGGCCACAGAAGAAGCTACTGTTGTCCAATGATTTGCCTAATTGACCATTAAGCCTTTAATCTGCACTTTATTCTGATTACTAGAGTTTTCCAAAATATCTAGCAAAATTGTATTTACTGTCATCATGACAAAGACAAATAAAATTATTATTCAAATTGTTATGTTGAAAAACTTGTTGGAAAAAAAAATTTTTTATTAACTAGCACTTGGCTACACGGCGGCACAGTGGGTAGCATAATTCCTTCACAGCTAGAAGGTGACTGGTTCGAGCTTCGGCTGGTTCCAATGGCATTTCTGTGTGAAGTTTCCCTGTTCTCCCAGTTTATGCCTGGTTTTCCTCCAGGTGCTCCGGTTTCCCCCACAAGTTCGAAGACATGCGCTATAGGTGAATTGAATAAACTAAATTGTCCGTAGTGTATGACTGTGAATAAGTGTGTATGAATGTTTTCCAGAGATAGGTTGCGGCTGGAAGGGCATCCACTGCGTAAAATATATATTGGATAAGTTGTCGGTTCATTCTGCTGTGGCGACCCTGGATTAATAAAGGGACTAATCCGAAAAGAAAATAAATAAATAACCAGCACATGTTAATAGAAATGTATGTAAAATCAAAAATTCATTCATTAAAAATACATTCAACAAAATTACAACATCAAATATAATCACTAGAGTTCAATTTAACAGAAAACATCTACACGGCTACACTATTATCTGAGGGTTGTGAAAGCATCATGTTCCAGCAGAAAGGACAGACTGATCATATGAGCTTATCACCACTGACTCTATATCTGTGCTCCACCTTTAACAGCTGTTACATAAGAGCACAGAGCCAGAACACCATCCGGAAGTCAGTGATCATTTTATGGGATACCAATATAAAAAGTGATTACATCAGGCCATCTACTATTTATGTTCTTTTACTTCAAATAGCATTTTAGTTACTGGTTTTCAGAAAACAGATGTAAATTCTTTGAAATGTTTGTTGTTGAGATATGATACTGTCTCTGCTGAGAACTTTAGCAGAATCATCCACTTTCATTTATTTGTTAGGCTGCAATCACATACTATTCAGAAGACAACAAGGAAACACTTATATACTGAATGTGTGCCAAAAATAGTATTTTAAAAAAAAAATAATAATAATAAATGCTAAAATCAAAAAGAAATCAAGAGTTTTTTTATTGAATTAAAAGCACTTTATTTTGTGTATATTGTCTGAAGCCCCGGTCAGATCACACGAGTGTCACGATTTCAGCACCATTTCTTTGACATACTTTAGGGAGTCGTGGGCAGAGATGGCAAAAGTACACACATCTTTTACTCAAACAGATACTTTAAAATGACTCTGGTAAAAGTTGAAGAACTGATTATGCTTTTGTACTCAAGTAAAAGTAAAAAAGTACGGCCTAAAACAAGTACTTAAGTAAAAAGTATTACTACTACCCGTTTTAGTTTCACAGGGTATACACACATCATGTATACACCAACATAAAATAACTTACATTTCCATCTTTTTTTCATCAGAATTTTGTTTTCAGCCGCAAACTAGCAAAGTAACATTACTCTACAATATTGTCCAACAAGACTGCTCAAAAAGTTGCCTTGTATATCATCACCTGGACACAAAACATAACTTTATGGCTTTTAAAAACAACAGCTGACATTCTCATTCATATATTCTGAAGCATAATTCTTCTGGCTATATACTGTATTTATAACTAATAAAGGTCTTAAATTTAATACTTCATTTTGTCTCAAACATTTTTTTCTTTTGATAAAATAAAAAAACTGAATGTATTTGACTACAAATAAATTTTTGCATTATGCTAAAGCAGCTTCATTTTCTTCAAACGGTACACTCTTGTAGCTCACATGATTTCACTGTTTGTTTGTATTTTTGTTTGTTTGTTTGTTTGTTTTTTTAGAGTATTCTGTATAATTTATTTAACAGATAAAGTCATTAAGGCTGTTCATACATTTTTGCATCATTATTTTTTCAAATGATAAATTCCTGATCCTTTGCATTATATTTTAATACATAAATCCACCTAGTATAAATACTTTTGATGTTCTAAAATATTTATCTAACAAATTATGTAATAAATTTAAATAAAGACAACAGTGTACATAAGATACATGTTAAAGCTATGAAACCTCATTGCATAATGTGTTTAAAGGTATTTAACTGCTGTAGTACTAACTGCACAAACATTGACAAAAAAAAAAGTGTATGATTGATTTTTTCCCCCCGCTGAATTTGATTGAAAGATCAGAAGGTTAGTGTATCAGTATAGCAAGGTCGTAAGTGGACAAATGACTTTAACCCCAGAGTTTAATGCCAGATTTGAACAGGACTGGTCTCCTATTTTACCTGTGATCTGATCGGCCAAAATGCATCTTATTACCCGGTATAAACATGACAATGAACTTGATCAGTAATGAAATCGCGGACTTCTCATCCACGTTTGCCATTCCAATGCTAAGCCTAAATAAACAAGCCTATGGTGTGTGATCAGAGGTTGAAAAAGCAGTGCACTGCAGCACACAGGCGCGCAACCACAAATAGATTGACTGAATCAAAAAGGCGTTCAAATTGCGCAATGACAAGAAATAATATAGACTGCACCACAAACCACATTAAAACGAAAGTAATGAGCCCGATTTAAAAATGTAATGAGTAAAAAGTACAGACATTTGTGTAAAAATGCAAAAAGTAAAAAGTTGTCAGAAAAATAAATAGTGGAGTAAAGTACTGATACCAGAAAAATCTACTTAAGTACAGTAACGAAGTATTTGTACTTTCCATCTCTGATTTGTGAAGATTTATAAACGACATATGATCGTCGTGACACTAGATTCAATCATTTTTTCTTGTGTAATGTGGCATAGTTCAGAACGACCGATACCATGCATGCGACACCTCAAGACACCATCGCAGAAAGTCGAGCATGTTTAACTTTTCACATCGAGTTCAGTCATGTGGATGACACTGTGCAATAGGAGCACATATTTCTCGGTTTTATCAGTGGGTGCTGCCGTTAATGCGTTTAAGAAGATATTTTTCCCAAGAAAAATATAGTCATTATATTTTTGTTTGTGCCCGTCCACTACTCACCTATATAGGTGGATGATTTTTTTTTTGCTCTGAGATATAAAGATTTATAAAGGTTAATAAATGTTTCACTGTGATTGTATCACAAACCTGTCATATATTTGCCAATTTTTTAATATGTCATTATTTTAAATATTATGTCTTTAGTATCTGCTTTTTCCTTGGTGTTGTTTATGTGCTCTCATTTCTCCGTTTCACTCGCAGCAAGTTCAGGCGAGGGACTATTTAATAAGAAACCCTGGCTGAAAAATATACTTTTAGATTTCAAAGAAAATATCTTAATATTAAAAAGGAATCATAAGTTTTATCTTATACATGTTGTAATGAATGCCTTTAATAATGCTGTTATTAGTTGTCAGCAAGCATCAGTGTTTATTAAGATTGAATAAATATCAAAAATATTTAAATTGTGACAAGACATTTTGTGTTTATTGAGATTGAATTAAGATTAAAAATATCTAAATTGAGATAAGACATTTTGTTATAGTAACACTCCTGACTGCTTTGGGAAATAACGCTTGTCGTGGATGTCACGGGATGACTGATCCTGAAGGAACAGGTAGTCTGCATATGTGTTACCCACAACAAGTTAAGATTTTTTCAAGAAAAAAAAAACACCAAATAAATTGTAAAAAAAAAAAAAAAAAATCTGACATAGTGATTTTTTTGACTGACAATAAAAATCGCGTAATCTGACCAGGGTTTCATAGGTTCATAGAGCTTCATATGTTGTATCTGTAATCCAACAAATTTTCTTTAAAAATAAATAATTATTTTATTTAATAAAAAATGTTTTTAATCAAATAAATGAAGCCTAGGTGAACATAAGAAATGTCAGCCCCTGCATTCTTTAACATTCTTTAAGATACTAGCCCAACAGTGGAAACGCAACATGATTTTAGCCTCACTGCTCATGCTCCCGGGCTACTGGCATGACCCAGCCTAATAAAATCCCTGGCTCACACTGGCCCAACAGTGGAAATGCAGCAGTGGGAATTCTTGAACTGGCTTGCTTGGTTTTGGGACTTGTAGAGCTCCGCATCGATGGATTTGCTCTTCAGTGTTTGGACTTTCAACAGTGAAAATTAAACCACACTGAACTGAACTAAAATAAACTTCAACTCTGAACTGGACTGGCACAGTTTCAGTTTACTTTAACTTCTATGTTAAGCTGCTTTGACACAATCTGCATTGTAAAAGTGCTATAGAAAAAAAGATGAATTGAAAAAAAAAAAATTAACTGAAGCATATAAATGACTGGTTGTTGGTTTTGTTTTGAGGTTTTGATTACAAATCATGATTAGTACATGATTAATATACCAATAGCTCTACAAAACTAAAGTCATTTGGCTTGGCCAGGCCAATACATACCTACTCGCTTCACAAAAATTGCTTGTTGTTTATATATTTTTAATATATATTTTAATAAAGAATATTATATTTTATAATATATTTTTATGCACACATGAAAGTGAGACGAGCAAAGGTGGAAACAAATGATATTAACTTAAGAAAATAAAATATGGCATCCATAGGGCTATTGATGTGAATAAGCCTTACTTTGAGGCTTGAATCCACTCTTCATACAGCTGGTAGGACATAAGAGGTTCAGGCAGCTCCCTCAGGTAAGATTTCAGGGCTCCTAAATATTCATAGAAAAACAGAGTTTAAGAGTTAAGAGTTTAATTGCAAAAACCAATAACTATTTTTTGTCATGTTCAGATATCATGTTTTTTTTTATTATTGCACATGGAAGATTACAATAGCTAAAAACATGATTTACAGAAAAATTTTCTGAAATCCTGTTTTTACATTGACTATTGAAAATTACAACTACGAAAGACTTCAAAGAGTATGTTTTTGTAAAACTTATGACTAGATTTCTGACCAATTCTAACATCTGTGGTTTTCAATTAATGCTTTAAGTGCATATGCTGGCATTAAAATTGTTTAAATGACTCTGAGTAGACTTTTTTTGGTGCACTTTCAATTTATTTCTTAGATATTTCTATATATACGTTTTTAATAAGCACAAAACAAAACAAAAATACAATATGTATTATTTTTTTTACAAATAATAACAACAAAAAAACTAAATTTCAATTTAAATTTAATAAAATAAATACAGTCAAAATAATAATAAGAATATTGATAACAATAACTAAAAAAAAAAAAAAAAAACAGTCCAAACAAACATAAGTCCTGTCATGCAACACACACCTGTTCCAAATCTCCATTGATAACACTCACACAGCTGATGCTGCTCAAGTACTGATTACACACTCATATATAGCGGTCACACAGCCCTTTTTTTTACTTCCACTCATACGCATGCAAATGCATCAGAGCGGAAACGCAAACTTATGCGACAAGTTTCACAGCTTGGTGAGAACTCTGACCTGTGAAATTATATCACTTGAATGCTGAGATCAATTGAAGTTTAAAACATGACCTCTCTGGACAGGAATTTTAAATATGGACCAATTGTTCGCTTTTTTGAATGGCTAATCAATTTGTTTAATCCCCCCCTTTTCGCAGATATAATAATGTTAATAAATGTTTATATATAAACAACTAAATGATATATCTTTTGTTATTAACTACAAAATGGAAAAAGAAGGCTTTAGCTTTAGAAACTTGTGTTGCTCACCTGGCTTTTGAAGATAACTAACAATTTCTCCTCAACCTTTTTTACTTTTCGACCTGATTGTGATATTGATCAGATAACACGTCAAACAGACACAGTGCTCTTGCTAAATTTTCGCTAGTTTTTCCTCCATTTCTAGGGTCCAAATTAACTGAAAATGAGCACTTTTAACTTCTCGCCCAACCTCCGCTACCCTGCAGGTACATGTAGCAGTGAATGCTGCTCTCTCATTGGCTGTAGGTGATTGTGGATGTTACGTTTAATCAAAACTCATTTCACATGGCATAATTTGAATACCCGACAGCTCCAGATATTTAGCTTGCCAAATATCTCATGAGTGTCGGCGACTCATTGGCGAGTCTCTCATGTCGCGTTCTTGATAGATCATGCTGTGTGATTGTCACTCACATGAACGAGCACTGATTTGCCTGTTATTTCAGGCATTTGTCGGCGATTTCTCAAAACCTGTCGGCAAGTCAAAATCAGGGCTGAAATCATGCAGCCTGAACTCGGTGTTAGTCAAACTCAAAACATTGGAAATGGAGAGGAACAACAAGTGTAAAATTGTCTGTGAATCATAAGTGGCCTACTTTCAACTCTCAAGAAGATATAAACAGTTTAATTCAGAACAGTGCACATGTTTTAATAATTGATCATGTTTATATTATTTGTGTGTGTGTCCATGTGTTGTAATATGTTTTTTTTTTTTTTTTTGGTAACTTTGGTCCTATGCTACCTGTCTTGATCAGAACTTCCAGGTAAAAAAAAATATTGCATCTCAATAGGACATTCCTGATTAAATAAAGAAATAAATAAATAAAATAATTAGGGAAGAGGCCCCAGATTTTTTCTAACTTTCTAGAAGCATCAGCCCTAGCAAAATGAATTCTTTCAAGCTTTCACTTTCAGATTTAAGCCTCAGCTGGATGATTTCATTCACTTTTATTGCACAATGCATGCAATGTAATTTTCAAAAACCCATAATCGGAGCTCTTTAAAAACTGAAACCATTTGGTCTCTTCACACTTAAACAAACGAAAGATCCAAGGTCTTTAAATAAATATATATTTTTTTAATTTTGGGAAGTTGATCTAAATGCAGAAATGACAATTCTTCAAACAAACTGCTTAACCCTACAATCGAATTGCGAAAAGCGGGACATACCAGCGACTGCGTGAGGGTCTGAGTAAAACTCCTCCAGCTGGGAAGTGGAACAGTCCAGAGCCGCCTTTAGTTTCTTCAGTTTGGAGGCTCCAGCAGCGATACGGAACAAACCCTGACAACAACGGAAATATTGAAAAAAAATATACATCTTCACAATGAGTGGCAAAATGTCAATTAAGATTGTTATATGATAATGACTGAAAATGGCGTTTTCGTTTGAGTCAGGGATGGTTTCACAGGGAATCGTCTGTCTCGTTTCAGTGCTATTATTAGTCTGAGTTTAGCCAAGAAGCAGAAGTGAAGCAGCAGACGTCTCAAACACGCAGACACCGCCACAATGTCCTTCAAGATACTCAACCCTGACATAATCTTGACCAAACATGCAGGTACTCAAGCATTGTTCTGAGTCTGGGGGTCATTCATTTAAATTGCTTTAGAAATCACTGTTAATCACTGTACTCTATACATTTATTGCTTCATTCATCAATAATTCCATCCATACATATATCCGTCTGTCTGTCTGTCTGACAATCAACTGGTTTATTAATCCATCTGTTTTTTCATCCAATCTTTCTGTCTCCTCACCATCTATTCAACAATCCATCCATCAATTGATCTGTCCTTTCATCCATCCTTTATTTGCATTCATTTATCTATCCACCCATCACTGTCTGTCTGTCAATTCTTTCTATCATTCCATCCATCCGTCAATCCATTATTTCATCAATTCATTCATCTATCAATCAATCTGTCTATTAATTCACCTATCTATCCATCCATCCAAAGCTCCTTTCCATAAATCTATTAATTATTTGATCTATTTATTCATCAATAATTCCATCTATCATCCATAAACTTATCTTTCTATCATTTCATTCATTTACCAATCACTGTCCATCTATTCACAGCATCTAATCTTCTATTCATCCATTCATTCATCAATCCATCCATCCATCCATCAAGCAATCATCTGTCTATCAATTCCCTTATGTATGTATCTATCTATGAACCCTTGCATCTATTTATCCATTATTTAATTGATTTATTCATCTATCATTCCATCTATCATCCATAGACTTATCCTTCTATCATTCCATTCATTCACCCATCATTGTCTATCTATTCACACCATTTAATCTATCCATTTATCTATCTATCTATCTATCTATCTATCTATCTATCTATCTATCTATCTATCTATCTATCTATCTATCTATCTATCTATCTATCTATCTATCTTAGATGAATAAATAATTTGATTTATCTATAACAGATGAATGAATCATTTGATTTATTCATCTATTATTCTGTCTATCATCCATGAACTTATCTTTCTATCGTTCCATTTATCTATCCATTGTCATCATACATTCATTCCATCCACCTGCTCATCCATCTAGTAATTGTTTTATGAATTTATTCATCTTTCAATCATCACCCATACACTTTTCTTTCCATCATTCCATTTATCCATCCATCATCTATCTATTTACACCACCTAATCTTCTATCCATCCATCTGTCCATCAATCCATCCATCCCATACACCTTTCCATCCATTTATTCATTAATTTATCGGTTCATTCATCTATCAATCCATCCATCTAACTGGCCATCCATAAACCTATTTATCATTCCATTCATCCATCCATCATTTCATTCAGTCTTCAAACTATCCGTCTACACGCCAATTAAAAAATAGTCTGTCTAATTTTTCCGTATATCTATGTATCTGCCTGCTCAACTCGTTCTGCACTAACATGCAAAACTCTCAAAAGACAGAAATACTGAACACTTCCTGAAAATGACAGCTAATATGCCATTGTGTGTGCAGTAACAATGCACATCTACTTCCCCTGGGAATGAAAACATCTCATCTTTTCATCCGCCGGTTCTCAAGTGTTGTTCTTCAGTGTCAGATACCTCTTCCTGCATGCCGGTCTCCAGCAGCATCATGACGCAGGCCTCAATGGGCAGAGCGACCTCTCTGCCGGTGCGTTTCAGATGTTCCTCCAGAGCTGTGCCAAACGCTGGCTTCTCCATCCATTTATCTGTGTCAGATGACGAGATTGATAGAGAATGGCTGGAGTTATAGCAGGAAATGTTTAAGAATCATCACTAGATGTGTGTGGAACACAGATTTAGTAGGTCAGGATGATTTGCAGTGTGAAACAGGATACATTATAATGCTGGCCACCAGAAAGCTTTGAAAGGAAAAGATGATTCACAGTTTGATGACTAGCCAGATCTATGGGTGCATATCATAAAACCTGTCAAGAACATACCTGGGTCATATTTCACCCTAAAACTGAAGACAAAACCCACACAGGCTGCTTAATGCACTTTGAACGTAATTATTATTACAGGGTGATGATTTCAGAAGTGTTGTAAGTGACTCGTGTCAAATATTTATCGTGCAGACGCTCAGAGCCAGAAATGAATATTAAATATCACACCTTGCTGTGACTGTATGTTGGGCAGGACACTCTCGATGGATGCCAATGCTCTTCTGTGGTATTCAGCTTGAGCTTCTAACAACTGTCAAGACGAATGCAAAACAACACACTAAATTATTTTTATACTACACATATTCGTATTATTTTAAACCTATTAAATGGCTAATGTAAACCAGATAGTCATGTTTCTAGGCACCTATACACACACTTCTGCTACATTTAAGGACATTTTGACAGCATGTTTAACATATCTTTTTAACACACTGGTATCGTGTTTTTAGCATAACCTGTTTAGCAGAAGTCTAGCATACATTAACATGCTGCTAGCATCATTCAGAAATGTTGCCATCACCTATGCTAACATAAATGACCATGTAATTAACATATTTAACACTATAATTACCATAATGTTTCTAGCATGCACAGGCATGTTCAATGTTGTTTAAATAGCAGGTCCCACTTTATATTAAGTGGCCTTAACTAACATGTACTTACATAGGAATTAATAGTTTGTTACAATGTACTTATTATACATGTATTTACTGTGTACTTATGCTTGATTAAAAACATGTATGTAACTACATCTGTAATTAACTTTTGTAATTACATTTGTAAATACACTGTTGACCATCCCTTACACCTTAACCCACCCTTAAACCTACCCATGCCACCAAACCTGTCCATAACCCAACCTCTATCCCAACTCAAAAGCACCACAAGTGTTCTCAAATACATTATAAACACAGTAAGTACATTGTATTTATTTTTCTTATATAATAGTAGTTAAGGATACTTAATATAAAGTGGGACCAAATAGCATACTGCTAATGCATTTTTAATGCGCTTTAAAACACGGTTAAGCTAACACATCTTGCTAGCATAATTCCTAACATGTCTCTAACATATTTAACACAACCATTGTGTTTAGTAAATATTCCTTATAGGCTAAATCATTGAGTGTTTGGTTCAATGGTTTAACAACATACACAAATTAGCATGTTGACAATATGTTTTTAACATGTTGATAGCATTATTAACATGTTCTTTACCTCAGGCAACATAAAAAATAAAGCTTCATTCATTCAAATAAACTTCATTGACCAGATATGCAAACCAGAAACAAGTTCTTAGTGGCATCTTTACTTCTACACTCACTTCTACTACATTTTATTATAGTTTGACAGCATGTTTAACATGTTTTAACACACTGGTATCATGTTTTTAGCATAACATGTTTAGCAGAAGTCTAGCATACATTAACATGCTGCTAGCATCATTCTGAAATGTTGCACACATATGCTAAAATGAATTAACATGTAATTAACACATTTAACACTATAATAATAATAATGTTTCTAGCATGCACTGGCATGTTCAATGTTGTTCAAATTTGGTAAACTCTGCTAGCCTCAATTAGCATACTGCTAATGCATTTTTATGCATTTTAAAATATGGTTAAGCTACCATCTTGCATATTTACCATTGAGTTAATAAATTTTGCAGACAGGAAAATATGCTAAATCACTGAATGTTTGGTTACACAAATTGGCACGTTGACAATGGGTGTTTAACACATTGCTAGCATCATTACTAGGGATGCACCAATATGGATTTTTTTTGGCCGATATCAATAACCGATAGCTCTTTAGAAATGGAGGCCGATAGCCGATATATATAGGCAGATAATTATAGATAAATCAAAAAGTTATATTTTTTTATACAGCAAACATCATAAAATATTAAACTGCTCTGATGAACTGATTAGTCTATACTCAAAGCAAAAAAGCTATCATTTCAAAATTGCAAGGGGATTATATAGATCTATATTCATTTCACATAAATCAGCATGCAAAAAATTAATTATTTCCTTTTCTTCATAGCAAATTAACATGCAACTTGACTGTTGCATAAAAGTAATATATTAAATAACAAAATGGGATTTAATCAACAAGCAAGTTAAATATATTTTAAATAATATGAAAATGAAAGAGCTAAGGACTAAAACCAGCTCAAATGTTCTTGAATAAAATGTGTTACAGTGATGTACACATGTAAAAATTTGTCATGCCCAAAAAAAGCCTTTTTTTAGAGGTGTTTTGACAGTTCAGAGCCACCGTACAAGCAAAAAGCTAGATACAGATTGTATTACTTTAGAAAATGCGGCACAGATTCATCCTATTTTGGCGTTTTAGATTCTTTTGAACACATGTAGCTGCTGCTTGTCAATCAGACAATGCTTCTGTGTTCATTCTTGTTGTCAATTGCGGGAAAAATGATCGATGAAAAGTTTGTGATAAACCGCTGTGAGTTTCACTCAACTCAAACACAGAGCATAATATAAAGACAATGTGTGGCGAGATGAGAGCCCCTATGCTGGTTTTAATGACTGGCGCATCTCTCCCCCGTGCTGCTGTGAAGGCTATAAGATCAGATATGTGTGTGTGTGCGCGGTGACAGCCCTTACGCACGCTCATTATAATCAATATGATTATTTTGATCATAAACAATCTTACATCAACAACACATGGCAAGCAACGCATTGATAATAACAAATAATCATATTAGATTACAAACAACCCAACAAGTTGTTTAGCACGTGTGCATCGCTGCTGTTATGTTTACACATGTAATTTTTTTCCTGAGGCAATTTAAAGCAAAATACACAATGGCACTCAATCAAAGACATCTACAATGATAAAGAACATGGTTACTTACTGCACTGCAATACAACATGAAGAAAGTACAGACTTTGAAGGAATAAACAATGTGAGGAGAGATCCATTATAGTGAACTGGACAAGTCTGAACAAGTTCCGCCCATGTATGCGCAAGGCAGGCAGTTCTGTGCAAGTACGTAATTTATCGGCTAAAAGATTGCGGCCTAATTTTAATATTGGATCGATAAGGATAATCTTAAAAATAGCATTTATCGGCCGATAACGATATGGCCACCGATATATCATGCATGCCTAATCATTACCATGTTATTTTCTTCAAGCAACATGAAATACAGCTTCATTCATTCAAATGAACTTCATTGACCAGATATGCAAACAAGAACTAATTTCTAAGTGATATCTTTATTACACCTTTATTTGAAAGTTAAATTAAATTTTCCAGTTTAAACTGATCTTTATGAGCCATTGTATGCTTCAGGTTCTCATAGAAATGACTTACCAACACATAATAGCGAGCATATTCTCCCTCCTTGGAGGCAAAGCTGTACATATCAGCAGCAACTTGATCCTAAAGAAAAAAAACAGATCAAACTAGGTTCAAAGTCCAACATAAAGTCATGTTCACACTCAACAAAGTCAGACTCATATCCAACCTTGCATATTTCCATTCTGTTCTGAGCTTCATCCATTTCCTCCTTAAGCATGTCAACTTTGGCAGCCATTGCTTGAGCATTTGTAGCTGACGGAAATGACTTTGTGGCCTGGTGATACCTTTATTGCAGGAATATTCTGAATTATTACAAGCACTGCCAAGTCCTTAAAATAACAATTTATTGGCATTTTGGAGATGCACTGCCATCTTACAGAGAGCCTTTTAATATTTCATTCAATGATTCTTATTCTAAATTTGCATTACTGTTACCATATACTTAGATAAATACGCATTACCTTATCAATTATTATTATATCCTTATAAACAGTTATCATTAAAACACACTTTAATAGCCATCTTCTGTAAATTAGGGAGAAAAATGTGTGACAATCGTATCCATGAAAATATTAGTGGTGTTTTGTTAGTGGTGATGCTTGAATAAATTGTTTTGAGCCATACATACACACCTGCCTTTTGCAGAATCATAATCCAACACCAGTTTGGCTAAATGTCTCCTCTGCTTCTGGATGTTAGGAATATCCACCTTCGAGAGCAAAAAACCCACATGTAACACACACTGGTGTTTTAAAGAGTTGTTTATTTGGCTTTACACACCTCTGCCAGCTGATTTAGAGGATCTAGAATGTCTTTCTCCAGCAGAACTTCATGTTGGCTCTGTTCGAAAGCCAGTTTGTTTTCAGCGTCCCCACAAATGTCCATCATCTTCCTATAGACCAGTTTGAGGGGTGTAAACAAAAACAATGGTCCCAACATATTTCCTGTTTTACATTTTTTCATTTCTATTGCTTTTGAGAATCCAAAAAAGAGCCACATATTGATAAATATTTTTATGATAGCAGTTTTATCATTAGGTTATGATTGAATTGCCTCTTGTTGCATTTATAAAATAGCTTGATAACAAGCAGGAAATTATTATGGGCCAATGACATGACCACATTGAAATGGTCTATACAGTTGATGCAAAAAAAAAAAAAGCTGAGGTAAATGAAGGCAGAATTTTATTTTTGGTGTGAACTACCCCTTCAAATTTGTCTGAGAATATAGATGATCCAGGGATATTTGGTCACAAAAGACAGTGAATGTTCAAAGATTTCTCATTATAAGTGTAAATCACAGTCATTTTTGTCTGTTAAAGAGGGTTTATAAACTCACCCTATAAGGGACTCTTCTCCAAGCTGAGCTACTCCTTCCACCATGGATTGTGAAAGGATCATCAGAGGAAGCTTTTTCTAAAAGGAGAAGAAGCGAAAGCCGATCATAAACAAAAGTGATGAGTCTTTAGTATCAACAGTCGTATCTGGAAAAGCAGCTGTTACTAACATGTCTCTTCTCTGCATCTGTGCCCACGTTACCCTGTAGACACATGACCATCTTCTTGTGTACATTATGGGAAACCAATCGCACATTTTCCAGGCGTCGCTCAATCTGTAAGATAATGAACACATTTGATCCAATTAAAAAAAAATACATCAGTTATCGGATAAAGTTCCATCCAGAAAACTAATCATCTATGCACACCTCTTCTGCTTTTCCTTCACTTTGTCATGAAATTTACCAAACATCAAAAGCACTGCTGGGCTGGGCTAAATGTGCATGTGTGTGTACATATGTACTTTTAATACCTGACAATGCATGAAGCAGTGCCAACAATTGAGGTTGTTGCCAGAAGGGATACAGCTGTGGATGGAAGTTAGCTAAAATTATTTAATTTATTAATTTACTTATTAACTGTATTTTATTAATGTCTACCCCCTTTCCCAACTATCAAAGTAAGGCAAAACAATCAGAGTATTATAAGTACAGAGTATTATTCATATTATTTATTAAATTAACCAATTAAATAGTATTTTGATAACGCCTATTTCTACCCCAACATTAAACCCCATCTTCACTGTAATGTAAAAAATATTAAATATTGTTGTACAGCGTCACAAAAATGATGCTATATTATGTATCAGCAGCTGTGTTATATCTAGATTTTACCAATAATTCATCTGTTGTATATAAAGATTTGCTGCAAGGGGAAATGTGCTTCAAATAAACACTATTGACCTTATTCTCCGCAGACGAGCGGGCGCTGCCATTTGAATCTTTTTGGCACGAGACTTCCGGTCTCATTCACTTCCATTCATTTTTAGACATTAAAAACTGCTTGTTTCGCTGTTTGATGTTGCAAACTGATATTTCCTTGTTATATTATTCTACTTGGTCTGTATAGTCATGCAAACATTTGTTTGTAGAGCAAGTAGTTTGACCGTTTTTGCCGTTTATTATTCCTTGTCATTTCTCCCATTGGCGACTGAAACGGAAGTTCTAAGACAATCGCGAAAACAGGCGCACTTCCGCATTTTAGAATAAGGTCAATATTGTCATATTTGGGATGTTGAATTCAATCACTTTCATGGCCACACGTGTGTCAAATCAACTACTACAAACAGTTGTGAAAGAATAGGTCACTCTCAGGAGCTCATTAAATTGATACCGTTATGGGTTGCCAGTGTACAACTTGAGATATCACAAATATTTTAATGTCTTTAACCATTCAAACATGCTAAAACCACAGAGACCACAGAGACAATCGGCTCCACAACTCAGCAGGTGGGAATGCGGGAAAAAAACAGCTCCCCTCCTTTCATCCATTTATATTTGAAACATCTTCCGAAACCCAGATGGTCACTAAGCCCCTTTTCACTCAACTCACACAGAAAGGTCATTTCAAAATATTAATGTTCTTTAGTAATCCAAGTCAATTTATCCATCATGTTTGATATCATTTAAATTGTCTCAGTGCGACTGGTACAATGGTCTCATTACCTCAGAAATAGACATAACCAAAATAATAAATATATAACTTCAGGTATCTTTTGAGCCACTGTGAAGGGTGTGCCTTTCCTATAGGCAGAAACTCTTCCACTAAATGCAAATGCCTTTTGTTATTTAACACACCCCTTTCCTCGGGGGGATTCTTGAATTTACTACTTACAGGAAAGTTTCTAAATGTTCGGGGTGATTCTATAACTATGAGCCCATAGTGTGGAGCTCCATGTTATGTATATTTTGAAGTCAGGTATGGATCTTTTAATCTTGGATTTATCTTTGATAATTTGATGTCTTGTATTGATGGTTTATGACTAAATAATTGGCATAATACACATTTACATGACTATTAAATTGTTTTGTTTGGACATATTTTGCTTAATCTGTAATTATTAGCTCTAGTAGATTACGCTGTATCCTTGTTTCCCCACTTCCTGTGTGAGGTCAGTAGACAGACTAAAATCCAGTTGAGATGGAGCATTGGGCTCACTAATTGTATTTTAGGGATCCGACTGACTCTTAATATTGATTCAAGTGTACTTAGTTGGAAAGGGCGTTAACTTCCGTCTAGGACAACAAGGAGTTGCACGACTAACCTAGATAGGGTACCCGACCTTTGTTTGAAAGTAATTTTATTTTAAATTATTAATTATTTTAATTTAAATTAAGTGTATATGGGAAACCATGGACTTGGCTAAATCAAAGTTATTATAGAGTACAGTAGTCGGTTACATTTATAATACTGGCCCTAACCTCTGCATGGAAATTATACTGTCTTTACTCAAGGGTGTACATCTAAGAAGGACTAATTAAAAATACTTTAGAATGAGCAAGCATGGGAGCGGCCATCTAAAAGTAGTAGTCATCTACCTCTGTGTAATATTCAAGTGTGACAAGAGTGTGACTGTGAGGGACGCCATCGGCCGGGGCGATTTCTTTGAGTGACATGAGCACCCGAATGAACAAATGTAATAATTACAAGTGAAGATAAAAGGTTCAACATTTATCTAAATTATATATTGATATAATTTTCTTAATGTTTGATGATTGGAGTTGGATAAAACAAAAGATAAATATATTAATATTCTAAACCACCTCATATTCAAATTGGAGTCAGCTATGAGTTAAATTTAAAGTAAATAAACATTGTGCACTGGAAAGACCAAACAGGCAATGAACCTTCATCCACCAGTGGACACTTCTATTGGACCAACTGGGTGGACCTTATATTAAATATTAAACTGTTAGTGGTATTATTACAAAATAGAAAAAATGACTCGTCAATAAAGTGGGTAAGCAAGGTCCATAACGACAACAATGAGTGAGTTTCGGTGGACTTGAGACGCAGAGAGTAGTTGACGACGGGGTTCAAATCTGGTGAAGAACGGATCCAGAAAGCAGGCAAGACAAAAACAGAATCAAAAAATAAAATAAACAAGTAAAAAACAGGGTGAGAATGTGGTAAATCTGAAAACGTGGTAAAAATCCAACAAGGGCTTTTCCTTTTCTGGATTGCTTTTGAAAACTGTTGGTTGGGTTTAGGGAAGTGGGCGGGTCAGTCAATAAAACTGGTTGAGTGGAGGGCTTAATTTGAGCCAGAACACGCCAGATCAGGCACCTCTGAAATCTGATCTGATCGGTCAGTCAGTTATTCAGTCAGTCCAACAGTCAGTCAACAGCGACCTCTGGTGGATTTACGCGAGAACAGTAGGCTACATGGCACTTGTGAGAGAAATTTGAGATCTCAAAAAGCATACACAGCGGCCTTACGTGGATTTGTGAAAACAAAAACGGCACAAAAAAAACGCACCCCCTTGGTACGGTGCGATATGACGACGTTCCTTTTCGTGCTTAACAGCTGACGCTTACCTCCATATGGACAGCTTTCTCGCTGTAACAAGTTTGTCTGGTTAGCTCGCCATGTACGTCGGTGGACTTGAGACGCAGAAAGGAGCTGATGACGGTGTTCAAATCTGGTGAAGAACGGATCCAGAAAGCAGGCAAGACAAAAACAGAATCAAAAAAATAAAATAAACAAGTAAAAAAACAGGGTGAGAATGTGGTAAAATCTTAAAACCGGACCTCGCAATTCACTGGTTGAGTGTAGGGAAAGAAGAGGGTGGGTCAGTTGATTGGTCAGTCAGTCATTCAGTAAGTCCAACAGTCAGTCAACAGCAACCTCTGGTGGATTTACACGAGAACAGCAGGCGCAAATGGCACATGTGAGAGAAATTTGAGATCTCAAAAATCGTACACAGCGGCCTCTCGTGGATTCGTGAAAACAAAAACTGCAAACAAAACAAAAAAAAAAAAAAAAAAAAAACGCACCCCCTGGGACGTATTTTGTGGTCTCCAGAAATGTATATAGGGGTGAGCTTTTAGAATGAGCCTGGGTAATATATGATATGATAAGAAAAACCACACTGTTAAAGTCTTTTGTCCTTTTTATGATCATACCTTGTGATAACATGTCCTGGTTTTGGTTTGCTTGGTTGTAATCACACTAGAGATTTATTCCAATGCAAAAACACATCATTTTCCATTTATTTAAATGTGCAAGAAGCTTCTTCTTTTATTTCAGTCGATAGGCCACTTTTACATTGACAGAGTTTACATGAGAATGAGGAAACAATGGTGTGTTTGAGACTCCTCGTATGGCCATGTCCATGTAATGAACTCTTAGGATTCAGCTATGGAGAGATATATCCAGATTTTCTTTTTAGGGCACCTTTAAAAGTTTTTAACATATTTATTATTTCTGCTTCATTTAAATCTTCTTACTTTACATTATTTAAGTCTTTAGTGTCACATGATGCTTATAATACAATGATTTGATGTACAAGAAATTTCAAATATAAAACGTACTAAAATGTACAACCTAAGTTTTATGTCATTTGTGATTAATTTTACCCTCCTTTTTTAAATAAATGCATTCTATGATAATACATAAACATTTCTTCATCTTTAATGAGCAACTGTTCTGAAAAGTATCTCCAGGAAAAGCAGAAGAATGGAGCTTTCTGGTTGTTCCTTCATTGTCTTGTCCATCAACTCTAGACATATGTCCTGCACTCATAAACACAGGGCAGGCTTAATTGCTAAAGCTTTTAAAGTAGATGATGGTTTAAAGATTACAGTTAACGCTACACTACAGTGTGGTTTAAAGATGAGATTTAAAGCCACACTGTATAAACAAAGAGGAACAAGTCAAAAAAATCTTTTACCATGTTGCAGCAATGTGTAAATGTGCAACTGTACACAAGTGCACGATCACAAATATGCACTTTAGCACATAGAATCTTTTAAAAACTGTGTCAAACTGTGCACCCCCTAATCCTAACCGATCTGGTTCTTCCTCAAACCCTGGCCTATTTAGTATTTTTATGCAGCGTTGACTATTAAAGACAAAGCTCATAGTGATACATATACACAGTTGAAGTCAGAGTTATTAGCCCACCTTTAAATTTATTTATTTTTTTCCCGAATAATGTTTAACAGAGCTAGAAAATTTTCACAGTATGTCTGATAATATTTTTTCTTATGGAGAAAGTCTGACTTGTTTAATTTCAGCTAGAATAAAAACAGTTATTAATTTAAAAAAAAAAACA